TAACTTCCACTACTTCCATAGATTTTCCCGTTAAGGTTCCTATATTCCACGTTCCTAGTCGACAGCCGGCACTCCATGATCACGTCGAATCCTTATGAAAATGAATCCAGAACAAAATAGCGCTAAAGCTAGGGCGTCACCCGTAAGTGGCGCGCTGTGCGGCCCGAGCACAGTGATAAGTGAGCAAGGGTCGCTGTATCTCCATCGGCACCCGGATGCAGTGTTAAATGAGCAAGGGGGCCATAGAAACTTCTTTTCGAACGACTCCACTCAAAGTTGTTTGGGAGCATATGCTCCTATCAACTTTACCCGGGACACACAAAAGAAGTACTTTGATCCTATTAGACGGGGGAGGGTGAAGAAGCTAGGACAGAAGGGTAGAGTTCAAGAGAGCAAAATGCGTGGAGAACAAGCATATAATATGTGTTAATCTAAGTATTCGACTAGTCTCTTACAATTTATTGAAAAAAATAAAAAGCAAAACGAAAGTTATTTATTTTCTAAGTGAGTCACGACCTAGGTGGGTTTGGGTGGGCTAGGGCGCTTAGGCGATCTAGGTAGGTGCTTAGGTAGGTCTAGGTGCCATTTTTATTTTCAAACGTTTAGGGATTAATCGGGGTAGTGACTAGCCGAGTAGCACTTAGATGGAAGTTTTTAAAACAATGTTTGCAACAAACATAAAATTTACTTAACGAATCACCACTTTTTCTCAATCTTTAAACACTTCCATAGCAGGTTGTACTTGAACCGCGTGCATAAGCTCTCCGCCATGGTAGTCGAACTTCCGAGACAGTTTGAGAAATGTGGGCCTTTTTTGTTATAGTTGTTCGAAAGCTTTGTGTGCGTGACGAGTCAACACTGATAACCGTTGTATGGGAGCAACTTGTTCAGTTAGTATGATTATCTCGTAGCTTTTTTTTTGTTTTTTTGTTTTGTCAATATTGAAAAATTAAGGAAGAAAGACTTGTTCAGGAGACAAATATGTTATGTGAACGATTCTTTCAGCCTAACTTTGTTGAAGAAAACGCATAGAATATAATAAAGCAATTGAGTTCAGAACTTGTTGAAGCTTTGCTATGATCACGAAGCAAAATCTAACCACGAATGCTATCAATAGCACTCATTATATAGCTTTAGCAAATGTTAATATATGTTAACATATTCGTAATATGGTTCATCTGACGACAACAAACTCACTAAGTGTTCAATGAAATATCTCCATGAATCAACTGAAATTTGCTCACGCGCTAAAATTTCTATTTTAAAAATTTAGGTTTTTAAATTAAAAGAGCCAAAGTTTAAATTTTGAATCCAATATTGCCTCAGTCATTAAATTTTTGGAGACTTTGGATGTGGGCCCTAATTATCAATGTTTTTTTACTAAAACTCTTGTGATTTTCAGTTTTTTTATCGAAGTTCCTGACATTAATGTAATAATGTAGTTATTTTTATTTTTAAATTAAAAATGAAATTTGTAGTTATTTATATTAATGAGATTTAAATAAAACCTATAATTTATGGGATAAAAAAAATATTAAAGATAAATTATACTCTCCAATATATATTGTGTGTGTGTGTCTGTGTGTGCACACACATACATGGGTACGTTCATCAAAACTAACAAAAAAATTATTGCACCAAAACATGGGTACATATTAAATTTCTTCTATTAAAACTTGACATAAATTCATTCTCAAATCAACGAAATAGAATGTACCCATATAAATTTAAAAAATGAATTAAAAAAAAGATTGAATGAATTATATATATATATATATATATATATATATATATATATATATATAAAGGTACATTTTATAGATAACAAATTGGTATATCTAAGAATAAGTACATTTAAGATTAGAGAAATAGAAGAATTATATAAATGGTTACATGTAAGATTAAAAAAATTGAAATTTTTTTTTATAAAACATTAATGGGTACAAACTTATTCTAATTTTATTTTTTATATTTTGAAAATTTTTTGAATTGAAAATTAATTAGGAGTTTAATAAGGATGTCAGCATTAAAACCCTAAATCAATTACTAATTTGTATTTAAAAAAAATAATGTAACTGACATGTAATTTATTAATAGATGAATGCTAGGGACTTTGATCAAAATCTAAAAACTAATAAGGTCTCAGTTAATATATGAAATAAAAAACTAGGAATCAGATATTAATTTTTCCTTAAAGTTTTTATTTTTTCTATTATTTTTTCATTCTTATCTCTATTAATTAATGAAAACCTCTTTGTCAACCAAAAGATGGTGAAAACACTACTTAGTCTTCTATCACACAATAAAAAATGATGAGCAATAATGTAATTTCACAGGTCCAAATTTTACTGTTTTTTTGTTGAAGCCTTACCTATAGGTAATGTTAAAATACCTTCAATATTTAAAATAAAACAAAAAACAAAAAAAAAACCTCCCACTCCCCTCACGTTCTCTCTCTCTCTCCTTCTCATTTTCTAAAAAATACGTGTTCATACACACAAAGTGTGTAGGCAAATGCTAGTTGTTCATTATAGTTTTCGTTTCTCGAAATGTGCAACTTTATCGAAAAGTTAGGTTAAGTGTCTCAAAAATATGACAGGCCAACATAATTTTCTAGAAGATGAAATTTCAACAAGAATACAAGATCAACAAAATACTGACTACATATAACGTGTGTATCACTACTACAATATTAGCTTTAGGTGTCGGATGATGGTGGTGGTTTAATAAGTCATTATGTCGGATAAAAGATATCTGACACATCACTTAGTTAGTGTTGAATAACAATGAAATCCTGTCGGTTATATTCGACATAAATTCCTGACGGATATTTACTGTCGAATGCAATAGCCATAAAATTATTATAACCGCTAGTATTTTTGAATTCTTTTTTTTATAAATATTTTTTTAACATATTCCGACAGTTTTTAAGTTAATGGTGGTGGTTATAACCGACATAAATTGACTATTTTATTATTTTAGTTTCTAGCGGTTATTATTTTAGTATTCTGGTGGTTATAACCTACATAAATTGACTATTTTATTATTTTAAAATGTTATATTGATTAAAAATAAATAAACACATGGTTTAAAATATTTTTTTTTCACTCATGGCCTTGTCAGATATAACCGACACAAACAAAGCAAAATTTTGGGCGGCTGCTAGAATAATCTCTGAATGTTTTTTTTTTTTTTTTTCACTCAGGGTCCCATTACCTAATCTCTGAATGTTTTTGTTTTTGTTTTTTTTTTTTTTTTTTTTTTTTGCGATTTTTCACACATGCTATCTCAAAGTATATACAAACATGTTTGACGATTGGATCGTTGAAACTAGTTTCGTAGAATGCATATCCTATCAAATTGATAGATTTTACAAACACTTAAGAGTTAATGTTATACTTCCATTAGGTATAAAATAAGATTTATCCACTAGAGTAAATATTTTAAATTGAAGATCGAATTCATTCATTGCATTCTTATAGGGGTGAAGGAGTGTAGCAGTAGAAAGTCATCAAAATCAGAGCTAAAATAACCGTTAAATTGTGATTTTTTTGTTTATAACCATCGAAAACTTTTGTTCCATTACCTAATCTCTAAATCTTTGTTTTTTGCGATTTTTTACGTATGCGATCTCGGAGTGTGTACAAACAATTTTGATGGTTGGATCATTGAAAAACGTTTCATAGAATGCGTATCGCATCAAAACGGTAGATTAAACAAACACTTAGAGTTAATATATTATACTTCCCCATCAAGTTTAAAATAAGATTTGTGGTATCCACTAGTGTAAATATTTTAAATGAAATCGAATTCGTTCAATACATTCTTATAGGGTCGAGGAGTGTATCTGTAAAAAAATCATCAAAAATCGGAGCTAAAATAAAAGTTAAATTGTGATTTTTCGTTTATAATCGTCGAAATTTTTTGTTCTATTACCTAATCTCTGAATGTTTGTTTTATTTTTATTTTTTACGTATGCGATCTCGGAGTGTGTACAAACAAGTTTGATGGTTAGATCATTGAAAAAAGTTTTGTAGAATATATATCACGTCAAAATGGTAGATTAAATAAACACTTAAATAGTTAATGTTTTACTTCCATTAAGTATAAATTAAGATTTTGTGGTATCCACTAGTATAAATATTTTAAATTGAAGATCAAATTTATTTATGACATTCTTATAGGGTCGAGCAGTGTAGCTGTAAAAAATCATTACAATCAGAACTAAAATAACCGTTAAATTGTGATTTTTTGTTTATAACCGTTGAAAACTTTTGTTCCGTTACGTAATCTTTGAATGTTTATTTTTTTATGATTTTTTACGTATGCTATCTCGGAGTGTGTACAAATATGTTTGATGGTTGGATCGTTGAAAAAAGTTTCGTAGAATGCATATCACGTCAAAACGGTAGATTAAACAAACACTTAGAGTTAATATTGTACTTCCATTAAGTATAAAATAAGATTTTGTGGTATCCACTAGTGTAAATATTTTAAATTGAAGATCGAATTCGTTCATTGAATTCTTATAGGGTCGATGAGTGTAGCTGTAAAAAAATCATCAAAACCGGAGCTAAAATAACCGTTAAATTGTGATTTTTCATTTATAACCGTAAAAAACTTTTGTTCTATTACCTAATATCTTATTATTATTATTTTTTTTTTGCGATTTTTTATATATGCGATCTTGTAGTATCTACAAACATGTTTGACGGTTAGATCATGGAAACTAGTTTCGTAGAATGCATATCTCCGTTCAATTTATTTTATTTTTTTAAATCGTAACAAAATTTGGGGGGGGGGGATTTAAAATTGGGAACTTTAACGAAAAGCACCTGGTACTATTCACTTTACCCTTTATTTTGTCCTTATCATTAAAACTCAAAGTTTTCAAGCCCTTTTCATTAGTTTTCCTTTTAAAATTTTGGGAGGATTTTTGCCGCCATTTTTTTCTATCGATTATAACCGGCAGTAATGAAAATTTTCCAAAATAAAACCCCTCAATCTCTTCCTTGCACCGGTGCCTTCTCCCTTCCTTCTCCCTTTTCTCCTCTCTTCATTTCATTCTCATTCTCGCTTCAATCACCATGGATAAACAATTCGAGAAGCAACATTTCAAAACCAGTACGTTTTTAAATTATTTGTATTACGTTCAGTTTGTGTTTTAAATAGAAATTATAAACTTCTTAACTTTCTTAAATAGAAATATCAAAGCATGAGAAAATCCAGCATACAAAGGAAGTTGTTGTATGAGCCCAAATACAAACACAGGAAAAAAGGCAACAACGTAAAGGAGAGACGTTGTTAATTCCTCATCGAGATGAATCAAGAGCACAACTGTAGCAATGAATGAGAGCCTGGTCGTCACTAGCGAGAAGAAAAGAAAGGCAAATCCTAAATGCAGCCTGAGCAGAAGAGATTGATGGAAGTTTTTGTACTCAAATTGAGATGTCAAGATCGAGAGAAACGTGACGAGAAAAGACAATGAGCTGATCAGCGAGACAAGGTTTGTGATGATAAAGGTGGTGAAGAAAGGAGAGTGTCGGAGAACAGGAGCACTGCCTGAACTGTAACCCCCGGGGAGTAGTGTAGGCGGTTGCATAACTTGCCCAGATTTCCGATTTGTCTTTTCTTTTCTTTTTCAAATATATTTATCTGTCTTTCCAATCCTTTTCTTGTTGTTGGGGGTCAAACTTCTGTCTATAAATATATTCAGGTTAGCTGCGAAATAGGAAACAAACTTGAAGAAATGAAGAATATGGTGTACCTTAGAGGAACGTTGCATATCTCAAAGCTGGAAAATGCAATGAATGCAGGGAAGGCTAACTTGAAAGGGAAAGAAATGATTCAGAAAGTGGTTTATATTTCTTTTTTATTAATATATTTTTTGTTGGTTTTATTCGACAGAGAATGCTCTGATTTATTCAGTATTAATGTATTCTTTGTCGGTTATATCCGACACAATTTCTGTCTATTTTAGAGTATTTTCTGTTGGAAAATTCATTTCCTAACGCTAGCAATTATGTCACTTATTATAACCGCCACTGCATCCATTTTCTGTTGAATTTTGCTTAATATCTGATAGTAATATACGTTTCTTGTCAGTTATCATAGCGACAGTAGTAAATGGTTTCGTAGTAGTGTATTAGTTTGTGGAAATACAAGATCAAAAAAATACAGATAACATGAATTAGTTTGTGGAAATACAAGATCGACAAAATACTAATTTTTATTATATTAACATGAATCATGTGTATTTTTTTTCTTTCAAAAAAAGGGACAAATTGGCTTCGTCATGGTAGCCCACATTTTTGGGAGCCAGGAAAACTCACAGAGGAATTTTAGTCTCCCTTTTACCATCATCGTATGATTCACCAGGGCTATAAATTTTACTTAACACGATGTTGTCCAAAATTAAAATAAACTAATATAGTATTTGTATATGCAAGAACTAAGAAGACATACATACAAGTATGAAAAATGTGAAAGAATATATAAACACTTGTAATTCATCATTATTCCTCCACGAGTAGATAATTGTTACACTTACATTATCGTTTAGATTTTTAAAATCCTCCAAACCTTCACGAATAATATTTTTTATTTGAGGACAAAATTAATAAAATTAATAATAATTATTGTAGAAGTGTAAAAAATAAAAAATAAAATCACTCATAGTGACAAACTTTACAACTTTCATGACGGGTCAGCTTCGAAATCCGACACTATAATTTATAAACCTTAAATTTATATTTAACTGTCGATTGTCATTTACACTTTATTCTTCTTACTGAATTTTATTTTAAAAATTTTCTTTTTAACATGATTATCTAGCAGATGTAAGAAGATGAACGGTTCATATCTTTGATATCACATTTCGATATTTACGGTTAACTGAAATATGAGTCGATGTCATATAGTTTGTAGAAATTTTATAAACATCAAGCAATATTTTTACTAATCGTAAAACTCTAAATATAATATTAACGATCCAAACCGTTTATCTTCATGCATCCTCTAATGGATCAAGTTTTCAAAAAAGAAAATCTGAAAAAACAAAATTTGATGAGAACAATGAAGCGTAAATGTAAACAACAATCAACAGTTAAATTTTGATATATGATTTATATGATTATAGTAGCAAATTTCGAAGTTAAGCTCTTCATGAAAGTTGTAAAGCTTGTCATTACGAGCGTTTATATATATTTTTTTCTATATTTTTTTACACTTCTACATTAATTAAAAACTATTAAAGACTTTAGGTAAGTGAAAATATACTTAAAAGAAAAATGCGTTTTTATGTTTTGGATGTGACAATATGGTATGTATATACTTATTTAGTATTATGTTTTTCATTTGATTATTTATTGGTTTAAAATATATTTTCCTTAATGGGTAACAGGTCGGGTCATATTACCTGTTTATATTATCGGGTCGATTTCAGATCGGATCATTTTACCCGTTTATTTTTAACGGGTGTTACACGACACGACCCGTTAAGATATCGGGTATGACACGAAATCGACACGAATACGAAAAACATGACACGAATGCCAAGTCTATGGACCACATACGTACTGTACATTTAACATGGGGACTTATTGTATCGTCTATTTAACATATGAACCACAATGGGTTGAATCAAACACACCTCACAATTAAATCACTCTCTCTTCTCTCTAACCATAGCCGGTCCCCTCTCTCTCTAAACCCTAGATCGTTTAATCAAATAGGCTTATAATGATAAAAG